CACCGATAAGTTGCATATATGCACTTTGTTATTTTTCACTTATGTATATATACAATTTTAACTAAAATAATAGATTCAAAGTTGAACTTACGGACTCGCCTTAATCCACGTTGTTTTAGACTAGAATATTGCTAAGTGGTAATGCTTTGCAAAGTGTCATTTTGAAAGGAAGAAAGAAGTGATGGGGCCGACCTCAAATGCATGTACTCGAAATTTGTCAGAATATTTTGTGAGTTGTTGTGACTTTCTCATCGTGATTAAAAACAAGATGAACAAAGCAAAAAATATCAATTTGGGTACTGTATATGTTCCAGAAGTATCAATACATCACATTACAGCTCAAAAATTCTGAGTGAATCAAAAGCATCTTCTCTATGCATTTCTGGTGGCCACAGAGAAGAAAAGTTGCCAACTTTTTTTAATACTTCATTAGGAAAAAATTGACTAGCAAGATATTTTACGCTCAACACATAAAGAGAGATTTCATATGCATAAAGATAACTACGCTCAAATTGTTGAAAACACCCTTTATATTTGATCAGGTTATAATAATTTTGGTTTAAACCCTATATATATGAGTGTGTTTGGTATCACACGAGTCATTTTTAAGGATTGTGTTTTCCATAAGGAAATATTTTTCTATTTTGCTTTTCATTTTTTCTTGTTTTTAATGAAACTTGTAGTCCACCTTAGAATTAAATAGGCAAAAATCAAACCGCAAAACATGACGATAGTGTACTAATCAATGACTCATAATTGGTGCCAAAATTAAAGCTGAGTTCCTTAAAATTAATATGATGAATATCTTAGAAGTGATTTGGTTTTGATTTTATATATGATTTTACTTGAAAGTTTAGGGTGTATAAGATCTTAATCAAGTTTATTTTAAAAATAAGATCTACTAAATTAGAGTTAAGTGTGTATAAAACTAGGTTTTTCTTTAGTTTGAACAAAAGAAATACTGATAATTTTATATCAAGAATCTAATAACTGTGGATAAATTGACATAATTTTGACTAAAGCATACTTTGGTTTAGGCATACTTGAACAAGAATAATCTGCCTTCTTTATTACTTAATGTGGGAAAATACTATTCGGTTAATCACTTAATCTCCCTTTAAACCCGGCGTAGCTATTTGCCTATAAACATACCATTATGAACGTATACAGGAAGAAGAATATATATATATATATATATATATATATAAATAGGTTAATGTTTCATGTGTGACAAAGTTACATTCAAAGGTCTATCGTCAAACTTATTCATATTCTTTGATTTTCTCATGTTAATAAGCGACAACTATATTATTCATAAATATTTATTGTCTTATATGATTTTATACTATTCTTTGATCTATTCATGTTAATAAAAAGCAAAGAAAAATAAAATCAGAAGGCTTAATTGCGTGGCTATGATTCAAGGAACGAAAGCAAAAAAAAAAAGAGGAATCATTGGCTTTATGGTTGTGAAACACACAAATCAGATCTTTCAGGTGAAGCAGAATCCAAAGATATTTTCAATCTAAAGGACCTACCAAAAGCTATAGATGAAGGACAAAAATAAAATACTTCCTTGTGTCCCAATTTATGTGTCATTTTTAATTTTTCAAAAGTCAAACAGTTTAAGTTTAATTTGATCGATAATTTACGTATGGAATCTTTAATTTTTTTGAAATGAAATTTATATATTTGTAAACTACGTAAAAAGTACTATAAGTCACAATAATTAATAATTCAAAATGTTTAAAAGATTTATGAAAAACTTATGGTCAAAGATAAACTATTTGAATATCGAAATCCGAAAAGTGTCATATAAAATGAGACGGAGGGAGTATCATTTTATCACAAGGTTATGGTGGATACCATTTTGAAAATAATGACACCATATCCACACATATCTCAAAAAATAGTACTGCAGTTTTCATGTTCACGCAATGTGTTACCCCCACACAAATTAAAGTCTCTTTCTTTATTTCTAGACTAGATTCCTTAATTATCTTGAACGTTAACAACTTCCCAAGTACATTACATAAGCATTATTGAATTCTTGCTATTACAAGTGATTTCGTTCTGTACAATTGATGATATGTGTGAATTAACTATTTAAAAAATAGGATAAGTTATGCATCGTTTAACATGCCTGTATCATGAAAATCTTTGTACGATAAGTACGCGTGTGAAACCTAAATATTATATTTATATAAACATTAGACAATTTGACAAATTGCAATTAAATTACTACTATTATTTACAGGGCTTGTAGCGATGTCGTTGTGTATTTGATTGCAAATTGCAATTAATTTTGTTAATAGGGTTTGTGTTACTGTTATGCACGTGGCCATGTCGAAAACTTTGCTTCTAATTGGCCTGAGTCTGTTAATTAATCTCATTATTATACTATGCTTTAACTGCTCACGTTATTTTTAATGGTATAGAACTATAGATTATAGATTAATAAAAAGCGTCATGATTAAGGTCTCGCATGCTAATTAAAAGATTACAATCCCATGATCCTTGATTATATGCTTAATCTTAACAAAATATAGTTAGCTGTCAGCTTGTCACTAAATCTTCCACCCTAACATAATTTAATCAAATTAAACCTTAATAATCATTACATGTAATGTCACTTTTATTTAATCCGGCTTAACTTTAGTTGTACCCCTTTAACCTTAATAGAAGTCTCTCCTTAATTTGCATCCGTACTCAAGATTTGACCTAATAGTTAACCAAGCAGAAACGAAGTCAGATTAAATTTCAAGTTCAAGCAAATTAAGATTTTTTTTTTCTTTCTATTTATTAGGAGTTTTCACCTTTTTTTCTTTCTGGGTGATTCAAACCTATAACTTTAAAGTTGGAGAAGGAGGGTCCTTACCGTTCGAGCAACCCTTTACACTGGCTATAATAAAGATCAATGCAAGTTGATCCAACACTAATTAATTTTATAACAAGCATGTGAAAAGAAAATCTTTTACTTTAAGATGAGATCTTGGCCCTAGTGATCCAACCACTTTCACTAACAAAAATATCTCTATATGTACTTGGTTGAACACGTTAACCTATAGTTAACTAAATAAAGTCACGTCTTTTCTTTAATAGCTTAATTTTTAGAAGAGATTAATATATATGCACTTCAACAAAATTAATTAATAGTTGGAGCAATTAGTGAATAATTAATAATCCATTTCTATATTATTCCTCTTTAAAGGGTTTTCATGTAGAAAACTTGTGGAGTATGCAAAGCATCACTTTAAAGAACAATGCTATCAAGGATAAGGACAAGTGTCTCAGGTTCATGCACAATTCTACTCAAGTTGTGAGTTCTGACTTTTGAGTACCAAAAGGTCAATTAATGACCATGGAAGCAATCAAAAGTAGAAGAGGCCAAATTCCAGTGGCATCCACAATTTTATCTATTATGGTCCCACTTCTACTACAGCAAAAACTAGGTAGGAGTAGTATATTTTTGGAATTTTAGGACCCTGCACACGTTGTTGGTGGCGGGTGGGGTACGCGGGATGGAGCGTGGGGTTCCACGGTTCAGATGAACTCAATGCTTTTTATATAGATCTTGTATTTGTATAATTAAAAAATTAAATAAATAAATAAATATATATATTAACTTGTGATCTCCCTAATAAAATTGACTCACGGCTCAATAGTAAAGAAGGGGCCATGAAAATGCTAAAGTTGTGGTTGAACCCAAATATCAACAACCCCAAATTCCAAATCCTGGCTCCGGCTCGAGTAGGGGACTTTGGGGTTAGGGGGGAGAGGTTGTTAATATATACTTTTTTTGTCCAATTCAATGCGTCTAATTGAGTCAATATGTGGACCGGCTGGTTTGAAATTGGACCATATTAATTGTCAAGATAGAAATAGTGACAAAGGAATTGTGAATCACAAAGTAAGGTAATAAGATCATATCATACAATAATTCAAAATAAAGTTGGTAGTGCTTGCTGGTAGTTAGTATTGGTCATTAAATTTAGGTCCATTTTGACGTTATTTAGTTAGCTATAAAAAGTCTAAGCAACTATAGTACTTATTAGAGAATAGACTTTTTATCTCCTTTTTTTAAAAAAATAAAATTAAATGAGGGCACAAAGGCCCATTTATTGACAAATAAGAAACCAAAAAGTAAATCCGGTCCAAACAAAAATGAAAAGATGCAAAAGGAAACAACAAAAAAAGCAAAAGAAAAAAGATCAAAAAGGAAAGAAAATGAACAGACGAGGATTAGGAAATACTCCCTCACACCCTAGCTACTTGTCCACTTTTCCATTTATAATTGTCCTAATTACTTGTTCATTTTGACAAATAAAAAAAGGACAATTTTTTTTACCTATTATATCCTCAATTAAATGACTAATTACTTTCAAAAATGCATAACTTTTCATCCACTTCACAATTAATAGGGGTAAAATGATAAACTCACTATGTCATTAATTGATTTTTTAATAGATGCGTCAATTTAAAAGTGGACAAGTAATTAAGAACAAAGGGTACTTAACGTCCTGCCACTAAAAACACCACTTGTCAAAAACTTACTTTAATTGGTAATAGCTTGTTTTCGTGGCCATGGATAACTAGGTAAAAAATAAGTATCTTCATATAGTCATGGACCACTAGAATAAAGAGTTATGCTTTTCTTGAAGAAAAACAAAAATAAACGTCCGTTTCAAAATAATAGTATTGTTTGGTTAGACGCTAATTTTTTATAATATGTTAAATTACGCTAAACTTGATTCAATCTTATCTGTCGTTGGTCTTTAACAATGAGGCATTCTTTATTGTATTTGGTGCAAAATATCAGTCTTGCTTGCCATGAGTAAAACCATGAGTTATCAATCATTATCAACTATAATTGAGAGCTGTGTTGTCCTAATCATATTTTTCCCTCATCTTGATTTGCTGCATCTGGTTTTTATATTTTCAAGTAGACAAAAATAAAATAAAAAAGACTCTCACATGGAAAAAATAAAAGGATTGTCATCTAGAAAATTAGGAAAAATATATATTAAAAAATTAGTGTATGCAGTAAAATCATTATACAGATTTCAAGTAAGAGCAAATGGGAACAAGAAAGACTAGCTAACTCACATGTCATTTACAAGAAGATTTATTCATACATTGATGAGATAACAGAATTAGCTTTTGATCTTTAATAATTATCTCCATCTCCATGAACTCCTCCTTTCTACCTTCTCTTCAGGTCTTGTAATGCCCTGAAAATACAAAAAGAAAACAGAACACACATTCAGTTTTAGAAAACAATATTGGAATCATGCGTTACTCTCTCCTGCTTAAAAATACTGTAATTCTTCACTTTTCAACTTTAATTTTAGAACATAATGTCAAGTATTGAAACGGAGGGAGTAACTAATAACAGAGAGGAATTAAAGACTTACACAATAATGGGATTGAATAGTTTCCTCTGTTCTGTTAGGTGAAAATCCAATTACACTTCTTCTGTGAAATCTGCTAGTGGAATCTTCACTACTTGAAGAGCTTGAAGTCAAAGAGGGAGGATTAGGTTGATCTGTAGTTGAAGAAGACAAAGGAACAACTTGATTATCACCATCACTGCTTCCATCGTCTTCGTTTTCGTCTTCGTCGTCGTCGTCGTCATCATCATCTTCTTCTTCTGTATCATCATTATTATGATCATTAAGATCTTGATCTTCGCCATCATTATTATTTCTATGAAAACATTTCTGGCAAACAGAAACAGTGGGACCAAGCTTAGAGCCAGACCCACTCCATGGGGTAATTGATTGACAAGAATTACAGAGAAGAATTCTTGAATGCTTAGCCACAAGGAAATTGGCTGTGTGGACTCTGGCATCACAATCCCAACAAAGACTGGCTTGATCTGATTCACAATAAACTCTTGCTATTGAACTGCACAACTCACATTTCTTCATTGCTATTATCACACATATAGATTCACTAAAAAAAAAAGATTTTTATAATTTTTCTATCTCGAATTTGGGTCAAGCTTTAGGTCTTTGGAGATTATGATGTTACAAGAAATATAGTAAATGCCTACAATCCACATTTGCCCTTATATAGAAAAAAGGTAAAAAAAAAACTCACAAGTCACATCACTCCCCCCTCCCCCACAACCCCTGGTCATCAACCACACCCCTTTTCCTTTTTAAATTTTTTGTTAGTGTCTAACAACTGTCAAATTACTAAAAATAGATCTTATCAAGTGTTAATCTAATTCCTGAACCAAGAAAAGATCTAGAGTAGTTAATTTTGTTCTAGTTCTTTGGCATAGGCAAGGATAAAAAGTACTTACCTTCCCTTCAAACATAATACTTATAAAATACTCCCTCTATTTTATTTTAAATAAATTAGTTTGACTTGACACGTGATTTAAAAAAGAAAGAAAAACTTTTGAAACTTGAGGTCTAAAACAAGGGATTGATGTTTGTGACTATAAATTATTTGGGTAAAATGAATATTTTAATGTTAAATTGTTATTATAGAAACGAGTCATTCTTTTTTAAACTACTAAAAAGAAAAATGAGTTATATAAACTGAAACAGAAGGAGTATACAATTAAAAAAATTTAACTTAACCCAACAATTATACAGTATAATTATTCGTCGAAGGAATACTAATGGACCCTCTTGAACAAAAATAGCTTGACCCCTGCACGTCCATTGTAGTTTAAATAAATACGCTTCATGAAATAGCACAGGATATTAACACCATTCTAGTTTATTTGTTAAAAATGCTCCTGTTGAAAAACCAATAATTATCTGTTTTGTAATACTACTTAGCAATTTTTGGTTTATATCTATCTAAAATAAAATGTTAACAAACTATATATACAGAAAAAAATAACACATTATCTCTTTTCTAGAACTATTTTCTGCAACCTTATATTTCCTTATTACTATATATTACTCTCCCTTTATTCAATATTAAGTGAATTTATGAGATAATGTACACCTATTAAGAAAAATATTTAAGGACATAATTTAAATCACATTTTTCACTATTACCCTTTGTGAAATCATAAATATCTTTGTAAGTAGTTCAATTTATCTCCAGGAAAATATAAAACATTATTAAATGAAAGGGTAAAATATGAAATTTATTTCAAACATCCATCTTGAACTTTGAACAATGAAAAACGCTTTAAAAATTCAGTTAATTATATGAAATATAGGGAATAGAAATTGACAAACACCAAATGTCTGAATCCAGATGGCATCATAAACAGGTTTGTTTGCTTGCTTTTTTTTTCGACGAACCAGGATGAGTTAAGCCCCAGCTTAGTGACAGTGATGTAACTTTGGGGGTCCAAATTAAATAATAATGTCATAGAGTATCGTCAAGCGTCCATAAAACGTTAATTTATTTTTTACCACTCATGAAACGAAATGTACATCATATACTTTTGATGAATTGACGAGTAGATGCTTTGTTATACAGCCACATTAACGTTGGTGAAATTACCACATGGTGTCACACCATTTGTAACACAACCTTTGTTGTTCGTCTTGTATTCCTAAGATACTTAGAACAAAACTATGAAGAACTTAGTAAGACACAATAAAGTCTAAGAGCATTTTCGCAACTAGAAAATTAAAACTAGTAGAGAAACTAGAATAAAAAACAAATTAGGAAAAATATACGAAATATTTTTTCTTAAAGAAGAATTGTTGTCAATCTGTGTTTAAAGAATCTTACTGATTCCAACAAACTTTGCAGAAACACGAAGTTGCCAAAGTTTAATGAACCAGTGAAGAACAGAAGAACATAAATTAATTCACAAATCTAAAATCTGTAACACATACCAGAATCTGGAAAAACAGAAAGAAGATCAAGCCCACTGAATGCACAGTGTCCCCTTAAGGAAATTATTCCCCTCTAGTATCCGAGGTTTGATTTGGAATATGTCCTCCCAGGATAGAATGATCTCAATCACCAGTGTATTGATACCCAAAACGCTGGTGTCAGCGAGCCACTCAACGGCAGTAAAGTACACTTAGAATACTAGATTTAGTAGTAGAAGAAGAAGTTCAGAAATTCTATTAAAAAAATGAGAAGAAATCCCTCAATTTATAGAAAACAAAGGGTAGTGTAAAAAAGTTCTTATTGTGCCTTACCGGAAAGGTCACAAACCTTTGGAAAAGTCACAATCTTTTGGAAAGGTCATCACCTTTCATAAAAGTCACAACTTTTCATAAAAGTCGCAACTTTTCATAAAAGTCACAACTCTTCATAAAAGTCGCAACTTTTCATCAAAGTCACAACTCTTCATAAAAGTCGCAACTTTTCATTTTCCATTCACACCTTTTAAAACCCAACAATCCCCCGCATGAATGGGGAATGACTCCAAGACAAAGAAACGGACAAGTATGTGTACTTTACAAGCAAGAATTAATTGCATCTGGATAAGTAGGTTTCCCCTTGGACTTTCCGTAGTGAACATATGTCGGATATACTCGGTCAATCGGTAGATGCGATATCTTTGAACCGTCAAGCTTTGGTGTATACCTAGACAACCATATGTCACACAATTAACCCTTTACCGTTTATGGTTCTTACGGTTGTGTTCGTTTCAGCCATGAACACCTCCTGGTTTCATGAGTGTATAGAGAATAGGCTTTTGACAATAATTCTCTTTGAAGCGGCTTACACTTCACACCCACATAGGTGATTTCTAACCGTGTTATCGCGTAGATACACTATTTGGTCAAATCTGCCAAACTTAGCAAATCATTAAAAACATTAAGCTTTAGTAACTCATTAACAAGCCTAAATATTGTATCCTTATTCCTGAGCATTGTCTTCATCATGAGAATGGATTGAGTTTGTTGACAATGCCGAACCGTCAATCACAACTTTGTTTTTCTCCTTGAATCTAGCTCTTGGGATCTCCAGTCTGCTAGATAGAGTTACCGCCATGATGACTTGTCCTAAGCCGTAAACCCATTCCCTTAGATGATCTTTAAACTTTCTCTCTAGTTAGGCCTTTTAGTAAGTGGATCCGACACATTATCCTTTGACTTTACATAGTCAATTATGATAATTCCACTAGAGAGTAGTTTTCTAACGGTATCTTGTCTATGTCCTATATGACTAGACTTTCTGTTATACATCATTCTTCATGCCCTACCTATTACATCTTGACTATCAAAGTGTATGCATACTGATGCCAAATGTTTGGGCCAAAAAAAATATCTATCAAGAAATTTTGGAGTCTTTCAACTTATTCACCGACCTTATCAAGAGCACCTAGCTCAGAGATCATTGTAGAGCTAGCGATACATGTCTCTTTTTTTATAAAAAAAAAATATTTCCAAGAGACTGCTCCTCTACCAAGAGTAAATACATATCCACTCGTGGATTTCACTTCATTTATCTGGTGATCCAATTCACATTACTATATCCTTTCAATACTGTTGGATATTGTCATAATGCAAGACATAGTTTTAAGTATTTCTTAAATACTCCAAAACTCTTTTCATTGTCATATAATGAGTTCGATTGGGATCACTCGTGAACCGACTCAGTTTATTAATAGCAAATGCTATATCTGATCGTGCATACTTCGTGATATACATCATACTTCTCAATACTTTAGCACAATCCAATTGTGAGTCACTTTTGCCTTCACTCTTTTGAAATGCAAAACTCTCATTTATTGGAGACTTGACAATATTAAAATCCAAATATTTGAACTAGTCAAGTACTTTTTCAATGTAATGAGACCGTGACAATGCTAAACATCTTGGAGTTCTAAGGATTCTTATACCTAAGATCACATCAGCAACTCCATGATCTTTCATATCAAAGTTGCTTTCTAGAATATGTTTAGTAGCATTTATGTCATTAGTGTCTATATTGATGATCAACATATCACTAATATACAAACAAACAATGACCTTGTGATTTTAATGTAAACACATTTATCACCTTCATCATTCTTAAATCCATTTACCAACATAGTTTGGTCAAATTTCTTATGTCATTGTTTGTCTATTTGTTTTAGTCCATAAAGTGACTTAACAAGTTCGCACACTTTCTTTTCTTTACCAAGAACCACAAAACCCCTCGGGCTGTTCCATGTAAATTTCTTCCTCCAATTCTCCATTTAAGAAAGTTGTTTTCACATTCATTTGATGAATTTGGATGTCATATACCACAACTAATAATATTAGCATCCGAATGGATGTAATTCTTGTTACTGACGAGTATATATCGACAAGCTCAAGACCTTGTTTTTGTCTAAAGCCTTTGACACAAAGTCTTGCTTTTTATTTGTCAATAGTTCCATCGACTTTCATTTTCCTTCTGAAGATTTCAATTAACTTCCAATATGGTTGCTCAAGATTTCATCAACCTCACTATTGACACAATCTTTCCAAAAGGATGAGTCTACAGAAGACACAAGAAATGTTACAAAATCATATTCATATACAGAAGACATTTACTACGCCTCTGAATCTCTTTATTAAGTACATTCTCCTTTTTCCTTTCCAAGGTCTTTTAGACCCTTTACTAGACTACTCAAGTCTAATTTTACAGTCCACAATCATAGGTCTTATTTTAACCCTTTTAGGAATAGGAACTTGGACTTTGGCTAGACACCCCCACACTTTGAAATATTTCAAGTTGGATTTCCTTCCTTTCCATTTCTCATATGGAATAGATTGTGTCCTAAACAAACAAAATTGCTTTCTTTCTGAAAAGACAAAACTTTTTGTCGTTCCCTTTTGCAGTAAGGATAGTTCCTCCACACAAGTTTTGTGGTAAACCAGAACTTATAAGTAATGCATTGATCATTTCCTTCAAAGTTCAGTTTTTTTTTTTTTCATTAGATTGAGGTGAATAGGGCAGCAGTTTGATGGATAATTCCACTTTTCAAACATATTTCTACAAAATGAGATTTATACTCTCCATCCCTATCACTTTTTATCTTTTTCTCAACTGATTTTCAACTTCAATATTATATTGTCTAGACATTTCTATTGTTTCATCCTTACCATTCAGCAAATAGACATAGTCGTTTCTAATGCAATTGTC